GAGAAGTTTTCCGGAAGTTCTGCTGCATGCGTTTATACGCTGGCTTTTCAGTGAATTCACGCTTGAGAAGCAGGGTTGGGGAGGGGGGGGGGTGGGAGGAAGAGTATTTTGTATCACCAGATAAATATTTTGACAGTTTGGCACTTGCACCCTCTCCCCTTAGTTCGGGTGTCATATCCATCATTAATTGATATGTGAAAGTGCTAGCCTTTGAGGTTAGTGCTTATAGGTTCGATTTCATATAGCCATAATCTAATGGTCTGGTTAAGAATGGTTAATAAATGCGTTGCAGAATTTGAGTTCCTAGTCAAAAGAGGTCTCATGAGATTGGATCTCTGCTCTAGCTTAAGGGGAGGGAAAAAATGCCCTCCTAGAGAGCTCTGAGTTGTTAACTTAATTCCATTTTGTTATAACTTTATAATCTTTTAGCATGCAGAGGAATCAATGAATTCGCCGAAGGCTGCATCAACTTCATCTTCCTCCACCTTGTCACATTCTATCGATCGATTGTTGGCCGATTCACCTCCCCCGCTGTCTCAACCATCAACTACGGAGACCAGTCAACCCAGTCCTCCTCTTATGTATCCCTTCAACTTCATGATGGGAAATTTCATGAATATGAACAATCATCTCCTTCGTTCACCACCCCTCCACAGTCATACAATGCCCCCTCTTCCTCATCCCCAGGCACAGCCATCGTCACTCTCCCTCCAAATGAGTCCACATTCCCTGCCTAGTCCCCAACCAGATCATCATTCTCAACATACTCCAAGGTCCAAACGAAGAGAAGGGAGGACAATCTACGAGTGCAAGATATGCAAGAAGATTTTCGGTCAGCTCTCCAATCTCAAGGTACACCTTCGTGTCCATACTGGTGAGCGGCCATTCAAGTGCACAACTTGTGGAAAGGGCTTCACTCAACTTGCTCACCTTCAGAAGCACCATCTCGTGCATACTGGAGAGAAGCCCCACGAATGTCAAGTGTGCAGGCGACGGTTTTCAAGCACCTCAAATCTAAAGACGCATCAGCGGTTGCATAGTGGGGAGAAACCCTATGCTTGCCACTTGTGTTCGGCTAAGTTCACTCAACTCGTTCACCTTAAGCTCCACAGGAAGATGCATGCTGAGGAAGATGGTGGTGGAGAGAAGATTTACTGGTGCCCAGGCTGCCAAAGGAAGTACAATTCGCTGAATGGATTGAAGGCTCATTGGAGGACAGCTACTGGAAAGACTTGCTGCTGTCAGGCCACACACACGCGTGTAAACATTAAACAGGAGGCGGCGATGTGATGCATTTTGTCAACCTCTCCCCCTTTTCAGGTCCACTTCCATAACATACAATCCTCTCTCGTTTTGTTGCCCGCTTTGTACAAAGAGAAAAGATAAATCTGCACATATGTTTATACACACGTATATATATATACCTATATATTATTATAAATTCTATAAATATTCCCCCACCTCCACCCCCTCTCCTCCCACTTACTGCAAAATTATCGTTTAGTTCTACCCAAATATATTACGTATTCGAGCAATAAACTTGAAGCGTTAGAGATAAATACACTGCCTTATTCCTCACATGTTTTTCTATTAAAAGAAAGAGGAGGGGGGGGGGGGCTATAGTCATATTGGCATTCGCTGTTTCTAGACATCGGGAATGAGTCAAGTCGGGGTTGAACATTTATTTATATCAATTGTCAGGCGTTTTGATAGTTATCATTAGCCCTGGAACTGACTTCGGGGCTTCACAGAGAGAAGAAAGAACATCAGAGTGGCAAAAAAGTCGAGAGGGGAACAGAAGAGGGATTCACAGATGTAAAAGAGACAGACAGACAGACTTCGAGAGGGGAACAGAAGAGGGATTCACAGATGTAAAAGAGACAGACAGACAGACACAAAGGCAAAACAAAGGTAAGATGAGTACTTTGGAAGAGGTTGAATATGGCAAATAGTCGAACCATAGTAGTTTGAAGTCAGAAGTCAACTGCCGGTCAATAGACTTTTTTGCCGTATATGTTACCCAGGGTGCACCACATGGAGGTAAGTCTATTGCGCACCCCAGGTTGAACATTGTTTTTGGTTCTGAAAGGTTTACTGGTGTGTTTGTAAGTAGCGTCTCAAACACCTGACGCAGCTGAGTTGCTGCTAGTTTACATATCATTTGCTCCCATTTCTCCTAGATCATTTATGCTAACACGGCAGTATATCGTGGGGGGGGGGGGGGTTCATGGTAAAAATGGGTGCTTGTAATATTTATATTTATTTATTTCAAATGGCAGGCGTTTTGATAGTTATCATTAGCCCTTTAGCTGACTTCGGGCTTCAAAGACGGAAGGAACATCAAAGTAACAGAAAGTCGAGGGATGGGGAACAGAAGAGTGGTTTACAGTTGTAAAAGAGACAGACACAAAGGCAGAGAAAAGGTTGGATGATTACTGTGGAAGTGGTAGAATATGGCATCCAGTGGGGTTATTGTAGTTTGAAGTCAACTGCCGGATAATAGACTTTTTTGCCGTATGAGTATACGTTGCCCAGGATGCACCACGTGGAGGTAAGTCTATCGCACACCCCGTGCTTGTAATATTAGATCCTTAAAAATTACACCTATATGCTACTTTACCGTCTAGTCTTATCCTTGCGCCAAGACTGACACAAGCCCATAAGTGAGAGGTCACATAGTCAGTAATTAGTGGTTGAGACGTAATCCATTGGAGGAAGGTAAAATTCGATAATTTTTTTCTCAAAATAGAAAGTTCTCTTTGGACCTCTGGTTGTGATTGTTCGGGACGTCTTCAGGTTAATTGAAGAGCTAACTTCTATTGGAGGATAATGTTCAAAATATAATTGGTGGTGCTAACAATTGGTGATGGGCAGTCTCATTTCCATGCATTCCAATGCCCCACTCACAGTGTGTCTGATGCTAGAAGGAGGCTGACCTTTGAACAGGGGCTAATTACACCCACTCTTAACCTTATTTCGGCGAGATACTTAAAAATTAGCTGAATAAAATTTGATCCCACTAATCTCCTTAAATTTCGAATTCAATTTTTTTTCTTTTCTTTTATTGGACGGATTTTAGGAGAATAATGAAATGCTGATTGAAATCAATCGATCCACATGACCACAAAGATATGGAGGCAGTGATTGGAACTCGACTAATGTGAAAATTTCAGTTTTAGGTGCGAATTCAGCCTTCGTCACTATTTGCTCCCTCACTAAATGGGGCATTGAAAGATGTGGTCCATTCTGCACACTAAAATAATCAATACGACGGTTTGGTTATTTTTAATGGGTAGGTTTTGTTTTACCCATATGATGATTTTGGGAGAAACTTTGTAGTTAGGCCTTATCAATTCCGCTTACGAGTGCGTTGCTAACTTATTTAGCTGATAACTGTTGAGTTAGATGATCGTCTCATTTGTCTTGACAACCAAAATTCGCATTATCCACCCCCTTATTTTAGTTCTATGTGAACAATTTTGGAAAATTAAGATAAAGCAGACCTCAGTCGTAGAGGCTATGGGCACGCCTAGACGGCCTCAAGACGTGTCAATATCGCCCCCCCCCCCTCAAAATATATAAAGTGACGTAGAGCTGGGATGGTTAAAATTTTTGACATATATTGAAACAATTTGTATGAAAGCAGGTCACATCCATGAGGAAATTTTTTTATGCGGTTGGATGTTTTGGCAATATCTTATATTGCTTAGTCTCGAGCACTTCGGCTCTGAAACTAATATCTGTCACCATCATTTTGATGCCCGCATGCCAAGGTGGTCCAGATACGTGACACTTCTCGCTTCGAAGGTATGAAGTGTGTGTGAAGTGTATACACACAAAGGCAACACCACAGTTCTCAAATCACTATCTCGTTTTGATTCCTGTAAATGCCATTTTTTGAGGTCAAAATATCGATTGTAATTTTTGAAAGTAAAATGGTCAGATGTGAACAAACACCTTCTTATCTGCCATATTAGAACATCTACACAGTACTCACCTTTCCTTTATCTCTACCTTTGTGCCTATCACACCTGTGAGTCATTCTTCTGTCCTCCCTCCACC